AGGCTTGCAACCTTACGCCTATCTTCGAGGCTTTTAAGCCGGACCTCCACAATCACATCATCGTTGATCATCCTCTTGGCACGTCTCGCAATGTGCTCTAAATTAGTGACTTAATTTTTAATAGTAATCTTGAGCTTCTTGGCATAACTCTGACTGACATTCAACTTTGGGTCTTATATAGAGTCAAAAGCTCAACCGGCTAGTAGGAAGTTGGGTATCCTATGGAGAGTGAGACGGTACTTCACGCCGAAACAATTACTGAACCTGTACCAAGCACAGGTTCGGTCCTGTATGGAGTAGGTACTGCTCTCATCTTGGAACGACTGGACTAAATATCAGTTGGACGCATTAGAGCATTGAGAGGCGTGCCAAGACGTACCATGTAACCAATAATGACTTCATTTACACTAAAAAATAGGTACCTAACTACCTTTTTATATTACGAGGCGAAACCTTCAAGAGTTGTCTAAATTTTTGGGGACAAAGACTAGGGATTTTGGGATTACTTACCTCACTAAAACCGCCCCGTAACCCACCATCATCACCTAGGTATAAGGGCACAAAGTCCTCATATAGAGACCACAACACTTATTTTTCTAAATCGACACATTTACGTATTTTATACAAATTATTTTAAACACGGCTAATTTATTAATACACGAACAACGACTGATCTCATTTACTCAGACCCTAATTAATTCGGTAGGCACTTAGTACTTTAGTACTCGAGTTAGCTGATACAGGCATATTCAAGCGAATATGTAATCCGCTTATGAGATACTGAGTAATCCCAACTGTCTATACTGCTATGTGCTTAGTTAATTAATTAGGCTGCAATACTTTTATGAAGTTTGTTTATCTATACTGTGTAAATATGATATTTATTTTAATTCTCAATGTTTTAATCGAAAGCGAAAGTGTTTTGTAGGAATCGGAGTAATTGGCGTTCTATAGTATCTGCATACACCCATGAGAGATAGGCGTGAAGTTATGTATGTATATATGTATGTTTTAATCGGTAAAAAAATAATTTTAAGCAATTTAGCTCCTATGGTCATGGAAACTAAATAAATGTGCATACAAAATATCAGCTAAACTAATTTCGGTTAAAGTTAACTGTTTCTAAATTTAACTGCAATATTCCACTTCTTACACATCGATACTAGTAATAATGAGTTAAGAAAACTTAACTTTACAAATTAAAAATAAACTTCGAACTCAAATTTTTACTTTGAATTCTATAACCAATCAAATTGTTAGTGCATAGCTTACTTAAATATTACTACGTTAGTAAAACCCTATTTCAAAATCAAATAACATCGAATATTTGACTATCAAATCATTGTCATTAATACTAAAACTATGTCTATCCAAAAAGTTTTCTTACTTTAAATTGGAATACTTTGAAATTGTAATAAATTCTTTTAGTTAGAAAATGTAACATATCGAACTATGCAAAACCAATTTATGTTGGTCTCGGATCGTATGATTTCTCCGCACATTCAACGGTTACTTTATACTGGTATTTACAGCTTGATGTGTACCAATCCTTCTATGTATAAGCTGACAAAGGTCAGGATTAGTTGGTTTAGGCGCTCCCACAGAATCCACTCGAATTAAAAGGCATTAAGCCGAACCTCTATCCGTTTCATTGTATATTCATTATGTTCTTTGTACGGAAGGTAAAAGGAAGTTTTGTACAAAGAAGCCGAGCAAATGTGCGTAAAATTTATACGGTTAAATTTTGTACCAACTACGAGGAGAGAAATGACCAGGGGGCCTAAAAAGGTACCATTGGGTGAAACATTTAATAAAATAATTCATTTAATAGATTCTAGGAGAATCATCCAAATCACCATAAAATGGTAAAAATAAAATATGAAACATCTGCAATTCATTTCATAACTGAATGAACAATACAATGTTACCTTTTTAGGCCCCCAGGTCCAATATCGAACCTACCGTTTTGGTTACTACATATAGAATTTTGAAACATTTAGTATGGAAAATATACTAAAATTTTATTTCTAGTAGCCATAGTTACCAATGAAATGGCTGTAAGTGTCATTAGAGTTGATTTTCAGAACTCTCAATGATAGAATTGCTTCATTATCTATAGTTCAATATAAATTTAACAGGTTGTTGAACCCACAGTCTCGACTTGTGCAAAAGAAAAATAATTGATTCTTACTTTTATGCTTTTAAAATTCTTAAGAAATCTTGACTTGCTAAGCACTATTAACACATACATTATTTTAAATTCATTTTAAAACCTCTGCAAAGTACGTAACAATTTACATATTCCTCGCAGCAAGTTAATATGCATGGAAAGGTGTACCGCACGAAGATTTTACAATATTCCGTGCTAAATAATAGTGATCTTGTATCGACTTTATGCTCTCAGCGTTACTTTCAAATAGTTAATAGTTTAGCTATCTCCTGTTTAAGTTTTAGTATTATGTGTAACGCATCATATCTTCTGCATAGTTAGTAATTCTTTAATGTAAATTTTAACTCGTGTCACGGATCGGGCACAATTCTTGTTGGCATCTGTTTGTGCCGGGTCTGGGTATGATGTGAACAACGTTAGATGGAATCTTAGTATCAATCAATTTACCCATAAATTGGCATAGAACTCCACACACGAAAGTCTCTTTAAAAATATATATGGAAGTGGTTTTCAATGAACAGGTATTTTTTATTTTAATAGCAAACCACAGTACTTATAAAATAAATACTACAGAGAATAAAAAAAATACGATTTGGCTTGTTATCCTTCAAAAAATGTACTTTTATTATTTTCTAAGTGAATGCCAGTAACAGACCGAAATCAAAGTGGACATTTTTTAAATTAAAACGTTTAAATAATGAGTTCTTTACGCTTTATCAATATTACTTACTTCTAACGAGGCTTTGTTGTTCATCTTTCTATTATATTATCTACTAAGTAAAGATAATAATCATTAGTGAAAAACGTTGAATATTTAAATATTTAAATATTCCAATATTAGTTCAAAAAAGTCCCTGAGACCCGCTGGACTGTATTCCGGTGTTTTCATGGTTGTATCTTCTGTAGATCCTGGTTTATAGGCATTGCAGCGGTTTTGGGAGGTTGTGGCGGGCGTCTCCCAATAAAAAAACAGTTTACTACTTCGCCGCCATCATCCAGCCATAGTGCTCTTAACCCGTCGTGTGTCTAAAACCTGGACCCAAGCAAGGCATATCAGTGCATTCAAACGGTTAATGACTAAATACAACATTATAGTTTTTATTGCACTATATTCACAAAAAGATCTTTGAAAATGTTGTACTCTGTAGTAGCATTGTTTGCATATCAGAATATCTAGATAGTGCCCCGAGGCGTAAGGTGGTAGCTAACGCGTTCGTAGATAAGCCAGGCTTAGCCTGTATCGTAACCAACTTCCCCACTGTTTCTGTTTTCAACCTATAAAACTGGATGTTAGTAAGAATCTAAGTTATTAAGGAAATTACAGTACACCTCTGAGGGTTTCTTAAATCTGTTTATTTATAGTTTGAAGAAATAAAATGTATCTTACAGAAATACACATGAACATTTAATTAAGGGTGTTGACCCCTAGTTAAAAAAACTAGACATTTTTATGTATAACTAGCTTTTACCCGCGGCTTCGCTTGCGTCACAAAAGAATAAAAAGTAGCCTATGTGACATATACCAATACACACAGCGCCATCTATACCAATACTTTTGTTTATCCTCGGGAATATCAATTTTTTCCGGGTTAAAAAGTACCCTATTATTTAATCCGGACTTCTAACTTTACGTCTGCAAAAATTCAAAGCAATCGGTTGAGTAGTTACGGCGTGAACGTGGAACAAACAAACAAACTCACTTTCAGATTTATAAGTAAGGATTCATGTATTCAATTCCATAACCTCGCAAATAATTCTCTCTCATGTCCTAAAAGTCGTAGGTACATTTTCCATTCAATAACCAACATGAAAATAAAATATGCAAAATGTCTACCCTGTACAATTCCAATGCGTTACAGATTTTTTGTTATACAAAAACAAAACACTGCCTGTACATTGCAGCTGTCATTTCATTCTCGTCCTAACAACTTGGAGTTTAGGGTTCAAAGTTTAACTACAAGTACTAGTAAGGGCTCGTACACAAAACTGCGATGCGACGTCTCATTGCAAAAATGTGCAAACTCGCATCGCAAGAACTTGCGAATTGATTCGCATCGCGCATCAAAATCTTATCTTGTTTGTTTTTTTCCTGTATCTACTAAGCAATAACAGAAGTGCACATTTCTTTTTACGATCCATATCACGACCTAGTTTTCAATTTAAAATACGTTTAATACGGTTGACGGTCATCGAAGAAATGGTCACCCTGGGAGACGCCTTGTCGCACGAAATCGTATCGCAGCAATTCGCATCGTAAATTTTTGCGTTGCGAATTCGCATCGCAACGCAGTTTTGTGTACGAGCCCTAAATAGGTACACATACAAACCACTGTGTCCTGGGGTGGTTTATTTATTTTTATTTCCCGCTCGTGTGTGGAGGAGTAAAACGTGTCTGGCTGTCTTTCCGAGCCATTCGCCGGGAACGCTAACGCTAGGATGATAGGCTTATAACTAAACTCGATGCAATCTCCGTACACTGCAGTGCAACTAAATGGACCAGGATCTAAATATAACGTTCTATTTCTGCCATCACTTTGATGTTACTATCTTGGAGTACGTTATTTACAACGTGGATAGTTTAATCAAGCGTGGTAATAGTGTGTAGATATGCTTTTAATAGAGGACCTAAATCCGGATCAATAAAATTATTGATATTGATGTTTATAAGTGTCGGTAATTTTAAATTTATATTTTAACCATTATTTTCTTCTTTTTGACAAACCTAAGTTATAGGTGCATACATAGATACGACTATCGAAAACAGTCAGTTTTAACATATCTGATAAAAGTAAAGTTTTTATATGGGATAAAATAGATGCGTTTACCGGCGTAAACGAGCAGACGGATCACCTGATGGTAAGCAATCGATGTCGCCCATAGACACCTGGAACATCAGTGGCGTTACAAGTGCGTTATCGGTCTTTTGGGGATAAGAATTAGAGGATTGTTGGGGATTCCGGGATTGAGTAGATTGGAGAGAGGGGTTATTGGGCCTCCGGCAACCTCACTCACACAACGAAACACAGCGCAAGTGTTGTTTCACGTCGGTTTTCTATGAGGCCGTGGTATCATTCCGGTCGAGCCAGCCCATTCGTGCCAAAGCATGGCTCTCTCACGCTTAAAATATTGATATTGATGTTTATTAGTATCGATTATTTATCATTCTTTAATTGAATGGCCTTAGTTATACATAGACATGACTGTCGTACAATGACTCTCATAGTAGATATTCCGATTTTCTCAGTTATATTATGCCATAATTCGTCTGCCATTACCGTCGGTCGCTCTGCGGTACAATATTCGAGTGATATTTCACAAAGAGACCCGTTCATTTACTTGGACGTTCTAATCCGGGAATTATTGTTTTTAAGAAGCTTACTTTTCCCAATACTAAGTACTTATAAATAGAAAATCCTTGAGCTAAGTACTCAGAACTTGGAATGGATTTAATCGAAAGAGAATTTTAATGTTCTGTACAATATTTTCTGCAGATTTTAAGAACATAATATTGTATTTAGAATTCTCTGTTGTAAAAGTTGAAATGACTAGGATAAGCTGTACAGGTGTATCGTGATTTGTGAACCTGTTTGTTTTTCTGTGATACAATTGGTTTCGCTGTTTGTGCTAAATACAATAATATCTCAATGGGGCTTATCACATTTTTACCAGATGGAGCTAGTGTAAACCTCTTGTTTGTCCAATAGGGAATTAGCTAGTGTCACACCATTGGACATTCAATATTTGGCAGCTGCTGTGATTGGACAAAAATACCCTACTCCTACATTTGCGGCATCTGGTGAGCAAAAAACGTTAGCCCCAATTTGAAAACAATTTTTATGAGATAAAGAACAAACAGCCTTCCCACTCAAAACCAGATAAATTACTGAGTACAAAGCTGAGCTTACTACATTCAGAGTATAAGATTATAACACCATATTTATTTCATAAAACGCCTACATGTGCACTCAACAATGCATTTTCTCTAACGATTTTATTCACAAAGAGTTTTACCTAGTGCTTACTATACTCTCTCTAAAAGCTACTTTATTTATACACAAAATTAGAGTTGCATTTTCAACAACAATGCAGTACATTAGCTCTTAGGATTCTACAAAAGCGATGAAGTTATTCTTCGTATAGCTATTTATTCTCGTTATCCGTACAATATTGTGCAATACCCGCGTTAACTTTTTCTCTACAAAGAAAGTACGTGTCGAGAATATCAAGACGCGAATCTTTACTTTCAGTGATTATGTTTGTACGAAACTTGAGCCACTATTTTACGATAAAAGTAAGTAGGCTTTTGTTCGTTCTTAAATACCTTATTACCGCGCAGCTCGCGAGCCGTACGCGTACTGCGCGCATTCACCAGATATGGACGCACCGTTTGCTCGTTTAAAATGATCTTATTCTCAATATATTTTAAGATTAACTAAAAATCGCAGGTTACTCACGTGAATATACTGAGAAAAGGTCTACTAGTTTCGAACCACAAAGGGGTTCTCCCTCACGAGCAGCGTGCGCGGTCGCGGCGATGTCGCGCAGCCTACTAGCCTACTCATGAGGAAGAACCCTCTATGGTTCGAAAGTAGTAGAGCTTTTCTCAGTATATTCACTCACACACACACACACACTCAGTGAGTAACCCGCGATTTTTAGTTAATTTAGTATGTCTCACGACAGTTCTTATAAAAACATGATTTTAAGATGTTATTTTTAAACTAGGTATTAGTATTTTGGCTGTCGTTACCTTTTACCGTTACTATTATTTTCTTTACATTTTCTTTGATTCGAATAGTACCGTTATTGTTTTGGGTATTATATGAATCGCCCCATTGGTTCGAAATTCATTAATAAAAACACCAGGTACTTCATTAAATTCTTTTCGCAAAATGAAATACAAAGTGGAATGCTAAAATGTACAAAGAAAAAAGGATTCAAAGCGAAATAGAAAGATAAATAATGTAGTGGAACAACAAGCTCCTTGTTTACATTACCAAATAGGACCAAAAGGTCTCTTCATTTTTTTAAGAAACACTTTTAGTTAAAGGTAAAAAGATCAATTCTTAACTTTAAGATGTTGGTTTTACCCCATAAATTATTGGGTAACACCAACAGGGGTTCGAAGGATAAGGATATTCAAAATCCGTGTAAAACACGGACATTGAATGTCGGTTTATAACCATGTGTCTAATGTTAAAATGGCAGTTCCCACCTAATATGATTAGGTGTGCAGGTCATAAAGTTTTATCAGGAAGTGCATTTTATGACTTCATATCATTAGAGGTAGCCCGACGTATTTTGTCAATGTCGGACGTTATAGAACCCAACTACAGAGTTAACTAACAAGTTTAATTGCACAGAAATATCCATCCAGAGGATTATACAAAGATTTTTGACATACGGTCCAGCCATTTTGAGAGAACAGTGAAGTATACAAACCGGCAAATTTATATTATTTCCAATAAAATGTTTAAATTATAAATAAAGTCAAAACATACAAACGTTGCGGAACATGATGAAGAATTTAGCTTCTTGGAATTATAATTTTACAGAGTATTCCGTGTTACCCTTCGTTTGAACAATCATCGCTTATACTGTCTATTGCCACACATTTCTTAGCTATCAACGAAGTAATTTTCTCTTTGCAAAATGAAAAGCTGTTTAGGTACGACAACAAGAACTAATATTCTATACATAGTATAAGAAGGAAATAAAGAAAGAAAGAAAATCCATTTATTTATTTACCATTTATAGAAGGCTAGCTGAGCCCGCGACTTCGTCCGCGTTGAATAGTGATTCACGGCTCGTCACTCTTAGTTGAAAGCATGATAATATGTAGCCTATATGTTGACCCGACCTGTTAGTAATATTCATACAAAATTTGAAATAAATCCATGCAGCACTTTTTGTGTTCATCCCTCACATACATACAGCCAAACAGACAAAAATTCTAAAAACCATATTTTTGTAGAACACGCTTCAAGCATGCTTTTAAAAAAATAATCAATGTACAGTTTTCACTTTCCTACGATTTTAATATTGTATATAGATAAGTGTATACGTTTGGGTATGTACAGCTTAACCTAAGCAAATAGAATATTATCCAAAACGAGTACTTGTACTTACCTATATGTTCCAGGGCAATAAAACTGGTTTACCTCAGTCGATTCCGGTTATCTAATACTTACAAACATAATATAAGTTTATGGAGTTGGTGGGTAACAGCTAGAAGATCTTTATGAATACGCGTGACTAGACATAAGACAGTTTGTCTGTTTTGTTAAATAATATGCGGTGCAACTATTTATATTGTAGAGTCCAGTCTAAGAAAATAATCGATTGTCATCGTTATATATCTTTAATTCACAATTTTGCATTTTTAATGCACTCGTCACTATAAAGTACGATGGAGTATTTATACAAGGTACACTAAAACCAAAGGTTGATTACTTGAACACCTTTTTTAACTAAAGATGGAATACTTTGACAAGGGCGACCTAAATTATCTTTATTTTACCATTAAAAAAATCGCTTAAATTTTTATAACTTCAACGAAGAATCTTTCAACACAATACATTTACCACAAGTTATGATTACATTACACTCTAGTTGAAACAAGTTTTCTAAGAATCTCTTGCTTCCAGACATAAGATTTTCTTAGAAACCTGGTAAATTAGTAATTCCAGGAGAAATGTCATGGTGGGAACCCTGATTGTCGAGGGCTGGCGAATTTCTACTGGAACGATTATTCTCTTCGAAAGCTGCGGTTGAAGTGGGTCATAATGACGACCGTTGTTCCTAAGGGTAACGATATGTATGTAGCACAAATACATGGTACTAGTGGAAATTTGCTACTAACATACACACTGGTACATTTGTACAATTCTGTCGTGTGTTAGACATGGGGTTGGGCTTAGGACTAAAACTAGAATCAGACTTACTGACTAAAACCACCCGGTTCCTACTCCTGCTTTGAACTCCGGCAACCCGCAGCTCCGGATATACAAAGAGACAGTGAAAGATCCTTATTACAACAGCTACCCGTGTTACTGCATCAAGCCAAATAATAATAATAAAATAAACAGTATTACGCAAAAGAACATAAAATGTAAACTAAATCAATATTCCATAAGTATTATTTAGGAATGTGTTTGTTTATCCTAAGTTGTTTATATTGTTAGCGACATTAACGTATATATTAATAAAACATCATTTTATAAAAAATCGATTTTGTAATTGATTCATGATAACACAGGTTTAAAACTTAGTGGTTTTTGGTTGCTATTTTAAATGGATAATCCTGTACTTGTTGTAATATAACAAATAAAATAAAAAAATCCCTAACCTATTATCAGGCTTTAAACCAATGGGTCTACACTGACTTAACAAATCTAGAGACAGATCTAAGATTATGTACTAAAATGCGACCTCTATACACAAGGTCCATTGTTGGTTGAATATGGTAATTGGTTTTAGACAACTTGAAGACTACTTTTATGCCCAGTACATTTACCTATTACCTGAATATTAAGTGTGGAAAACTATGCACCTATATAATATATTTGGGTGGACTCTTTGGAAAGGTAATAAGATTGACGGGGATATTTAAGAGGCAAAGAGTTTTTAAGTATGCGAGAGCCATGCTTCGGCACGAATGGGCCGGCTCGACCGGAGTGATACCACGGCCTCACAGAAATGTATGTGAAGCAACGCTTGCGTTGTGTTTCGTCGTGTGAGAGAGGATATTGGAGGCCCAATTATCTTCACCCTTCCCCAATCTCCCCAATGCCTGAATCCCCCACAAACCCTTAAAATCCTAATCCCCAAAAGGCTGGTAACGTACTTTTAAAACCTCAGATGTTCCAGGTATCCAAAAAAGTTTTTGTATTGTATATAATTCAGTTTATATTTTAGTTCAATAGTGTATATGTTCTGGTCCTTTAAAGCTTATCTAATCACTAATACGCATTAGTGTAATAAGCGTAATATAAGCTCAATTGGTAGCCAATTACATAGGTGATGACGAAGCGCTTTACGCTTGATTCGTCCTTGTATCCATATTCAAGCGGGCGAAACTATCGCTTGATTAAATTGCGTTAAGCGCTTTTATTGCTTTTTTATGGAGCACTTGTTTTTACTTAGTATAGTTTTGTCAAGGTGATTTATCATTG